CAAGAGCAAAAGGTTTGACAATTGGGCTCCAAGCTCCCACCCACGCCCATTGACCTGTCGAGTCTATGCAGATGACCCAAATCGCCCAAATATATACTACACATTATCACAATGTGGTCAGTAACATCGACATACCGCCCGGAATACAGCAGAAAACAGCCTTAGACTTTTGAAGACGGGCAACGTCCATGGAAACAATCATGAACCACATCATTTGGGGTATATCAATACCAGGACTTCTCTCCATCAACTCAAAAGGCAATGCCATTTCGTCTCACTCTGTTCCGCCTTACTGACTTTATGTGGGCTGCTCGAGAAACAGCCGACGAAGGAGACGACTCCTTAGCTACTTACACATCAACCGGCACCAGACCTACGAGTGAATACTTCAAGGGCAGAAATAAACGACGATATCAAACCCTCATGCCAATCATAGAAACCTCATGCCTCATAGCATCGCATCGCATGTCACCTCAATCAAGACACAATCCTTTCTTAATCATTGATCAACCCGAGAGCTCTGACATTCGTTGCCCAAGAGACTCTACGTCCCCACCCCAAGCACCCTCTTAAATAGAACACGCCCGTAAGCCATACCCGATACTTCCAACGCACGACATTAAACCAATGTCTCGCCCGCACATGGCCTGCGCATGTAAGTACTCACATTGCTTATTCCAAAAGCAACAGGCTTCTAGATGAGACCTTATCCTTATCAAAGAGGTCAGAGCTCCCGCGAACCATCTTTCCTTCTCGTCTTATCTCGACATCGTTGCTTTTGAAACCTCCTAGGGCAAGTTTCTTATTTCGGCTCCGATATCTCTGTCACAGGTCAGCCCTCGTCATTGGCAGGTGACAATCATGACACTCAAGGCCAAAGCGCAACTGCGGGCGCTATGTAGTTGCACATAGGCAGCCCATCATCTACGAGAGCCTTCAATCGTTCGTAAGTCTGTCACAGGTGAGATACATACTGGCAGTTCGCAGCTTTCATCACACACCTAAACGGGACAACAAGACTCGGGTATCATTCTCAACTTTCTAGCTGACTCATTACCTCAACATGCTGCCTACCTTGCCTGAACCCCTGGCCAAGGGACATCTTTTTTAGAAGGGGGTAATCTTTGAAAAAACAAAATTTAGCCAGTCCTCCCTCCGATCCTCTTCCCGTCGTCTTCCCATGACACATACGTTGCTTGACATCTGGGAAGAAAAGGCACTCCCTTCTTTCGCCACGCGTCTACGGTGTATGTCTTGCTCATCTGATGGAGACACGCCCAGATTCTATTGGAAAAAGCGTGGGCAGAAGAATGTGCAGAGTAACGCATCTAGAAAGCCGCTTCGTATAAAACTCAAAACGCAGAAGCCGTCTCACGTAAATTTGGTGTGGATGATATCCGGGTTCTCGTGCCAGTCGTCGATGCTCACCCACATCTGTCACGGTTGTCAGCATGTCAATTCGTCGCCCCAGGCAAGAAAAAAAAAGGAAAACTCACCTTTCTGAAAGTGCTGAGACCAGCCAAGATACTTCCTCCGATCCATGTAGAGTACTTGCGCTCCGGCGGCGCAAAGATCTTTATCCTCATGTCCTTGACGGCCAACCGCTGCAGCTCTGTGAGCAGACGGTCGCCGAAGCCCTTGGTCAGCGTGCTGCCTCCCGAGAGTACAATGTTGCTGTACAGCGACTTGCGCAGGTCGAGGTCCGTCCTATTGATCGCGTCGACGACGATCTGGTGCACACCCGGGTACTCGAGGCCGATGATCTCGGGGTCGAAGAGGATTTCTGGTGCCCTGAAGCGTTCCGCGCCAATCTGGCATCACGGTTAGCATTCTTCGTCCCAGCCCCAGACGTTTTTCCCGGCGGAAAGTATTGCTCTTTGTTGCTTACCTTGAGCTTGTGACCGTCCGGCAAAACATACTCCATGCTCTTGGCCGAGTCCGTCCTGTTGGCCCACTCCTTCTCCTCTTTCCTGGGATCGTGCGCGACGTAGGTGACGGACTCCTTGATGAGCCTCACGACCTCCTTCTCGGCGCTAGTGTGGAAGACGTAGCCGCTCTTGCGCAGCAGCGTCTGCATGTACTCCGTCACGTCGCGGCCCGCGACGTCTATCCGCCGGATGCTGCTCGGCATCGCGAAGCCCTCGTACACGGGGACGGCGTGCGACACGCCGTCGCCCGAGTCAAGGACGATACCCGTCGTCCGGCCGCTGGCGTATAATGACAGCACCGCCTGGATCGATGTGTACAGCGCCGGCACGTTGAACGTCTCGAAGAGGATCTGGGCGGCCGTGTCGCGGTTGCTGCGGGGGTTGAGGGGGGGTTCGGTTAGGAGGACGGGGTGCTGGGACAAGCATTAGCATCGCGAGATGAAATTGGGGCGGGGAAAACGCCATCATCTCCCCGCGGTCTACCGGAACACACACCTCTTCGCTGAGGGTCTTGAGCCCCTCTCCGTACACGTACTCCCAGATCTTCTCCATGTCATCCCAGTCCGTGACGATGCCGTGCTCGAGCGGGTACCTGATCTTCAACAGACCCCGGAGCTCCGTCGCCGCCTTCTGCCCGATAAAGACCTCGCCCTCGAGCGCGCCGGCCAGGACACGCAGGTGCTTGGGACGGCCGACGAACGAGGGGAAGTAGCACTTTGGCAGGTCGTCGCCCGCGAAGCCGGCGCGGATGGTGCCGGAGCCATTGTCCAGGACGATGGGCGCGTTGTGTAGCGAGTCCGTCATCTTGCGCGATGCATCCGAGATTCAATATTCTGTCTTTTTCAAATCCTTCCGCTTCTCAATCGTTCCCGCCGGTCGTATGTATCGTCGGGTCGGCGAGTTTCGTTCCGATTTCGCGCACACGTTGAACCACACCCACCCCTTTGTTTGTGTTTGGCGGTGACTGCTGGCAAGTGGGGACTCGGCGATTCGTTGGCGTTGGGGGAATGAGGCTACGATTGACGCCCGCACGCTTTGAGCCCGGTGTGCAAGGGAGGATTGTAGGGGTTTGCGGTGTCGTCGCTGGGTCGTCGGCTCGTTCGTCGTTGGTCGCTGGAGATGGGATGTTGTCAAAGTGGTCAAAATTGGAGGACAGCTTCAAGCACGACGCGGTCTCAGTCCGGGGAGCTGCAGGGGCGCGAATTGCTAGGACAGATGTGGAGTAGCGCGATTGGGAGCTGGCGTGCACTGGCCTCTAGGGTCTCGGTTGGAGAAGGTGTGTAAGTGCAGAGGTGGTTTACAAGACTTTGGCACGGAAGGGTTGCATTTTGGATGCAAACTATTGTGGAGATGTATCTCTCTGTTTAGTTGACGTTGAACAAATTCTAGTCTCACGCGCGCAAAATAGTTTATGTGTTTGAACAAAGTAAATAGTGCTGGTCCGAACAGACTTCTACCGATGCTGAATCCAAGAAGCCCCCGAACGCCTTAGATGCTCGAGATAAGATATGTACAGGTATCTCCGTGATATGTTCCAAATTCCCAAAATTCTAGCTTCCAACTCCCATATCGATGTTTCCACTCAGTTCATTAAGAGGAATGAATGCATTCGCTCAGATGTGACCGTCGAGCGCCACCTTGGTGAGGTAGGGCCAGCCAAGGACGAAGGTGAAGAGAGGGAAGAACCTGCAGAGTATACTGTTAGTCGAGATTCGAACCAAAAGGCACGATCAATGAAATGCTTACATTGTGGCCGTGACGGCACGTCTCTTGAGCATGGCACCGTAGTAGGGCTTGGCCTGGACGCCAGTTTGGGGCATCCTCTGGAAGGGATGAGGCTCAAATTGGCGGGCAACGTTGCGCATGTTGGTGAGGAGGGAGAATTGTCTGCGCTGGACAGCCATGCGGGCGGCAGTGCGGGCGGCGAATGCGGGAGACATTTTGAGTGATGAGTTGGTTGGTTTGGTAGTCGAGTAGAGACTTTTGAGTGATTAAGAGGAGTGAAGTTGGTGGTGATACACTCGTACAAAAGATGTAGTGGAGAGTTGTGTTTGTTTGATTCGAGACTCTGTTTGATGTTGTTGATGTGTGATGATGATGATGAGGGAGAGGGATACACAACAGACGGGAAGCTGCTTCGGATCTTATACCAGGAAAAAGATTGTGACTCCTGCCCGCAAAGCTACGAGATCTGTAAATCTTGGACAAGGCTATTCCGGGATTTCCTGCGGCAAACACCTATTGTGGGCAGATGGGCGGGCAGCTTTGCCCGTAAGATTGCCGTGCCTGGGCGGAGCGAGTGAGGCTTCTCGATCGAGGCCCAGGCAAAATCATGCCATCCCATCTCCAACGGCCCCCAAACGGTATCCATGGCCATGGGATTCTGCAGTGAAAGTTGACAAGACACAGTGTCTCACCCAATAGGCGCAGCCGCGCGGGTGGGGAGGCAAACCATTTGGGTCATTTGGGCGGTTTGCAAAAAGCCTGCGCTGGAAAATCGCGTATTAAAACTGTCGATTGGCGATGGTGTGGTTCTCTGCAGTTTCCTGACGACTGCCAACGATTATGGGGTGATGTGGTCTGACGGCGGCCACCGAGGAGGCGCGCTGATTGGCTGGCAGAGGGGCCTGGATTCCTGGCGAATGAGATGATCGCCGCTGCTGACCATTGAAGCGAACAATCGAACCACAGACCCAGCCGGCTGGGAGCGACGACGAGGGAGAATCCGGGGAAGACAATGACAGCTGCCTTGGTCCGAACTTGCAAAGGTGTAGAAGTTCAGATCCCGAACGAGATTAGGGGATGAGATGACATCGTCACTCTTTTTCCCAAGAAAGAATGAGGTGGAAGATGCGGTGTCACTTTGCTGCAGAAACGGTACGTACCGCGAGCTGTCACTTGGGAAGCTTGCAGGCCCGTCGCGACCCTGCGCACGCTGAGTGGCCCAAGAATCTGGGGTTGGCAGCCAGCACGCAGCGGTTCCTTCAGATAACGTTCTTATCGCCATGTGACTCGGGCGGACCCGCCAAACGCGGTCGGACGTTGACGCCGTTCCGCGGTTTTTCCTGAGCCGTGGCCTTCCGGGTTCCCGTTCCATCGAAGCTCATCTATCGACCGACCGACAACCTACAACGCCCCGAGTCTCCCGACTTCGCGATCGTCCGACCGACCGACCACTCGAGCATGCCATTGGTAGACCACGTGACAATGTCGTCGCCAATGAAGGCCGCCTCCGACGCGGGCAAGTCGAAAGACGGACTGCACCCGGTCCACGCCCTCTCGAGCCCTGCCGCGCAGCTTGTCCGACACGTCCAGCCGGTGCTCCTATCTGGCCTCTTCGTTGCGCAATTTGGCTCGCTGGTCGCCGACCCCGTGCGGACTCTCACAAATTCCCTGCCGATCGTTGCCGTGATACAAATCGTCTACGCGTTCGTCTGCCTGCCCGCCGCCGGTTCGCAAGCGTCAAAGGGTGTACGCAAGCCCCGGCCCGGCGAGAAGAAGAAGGTTGAGAGCACGGGGCCGAACCCCTTCATCGTGAGTGGTCATTGATACCCAGCTGCTCGGGGAGTCATCGCTAACGGCTGTGCTAGGCTATCTTCCTCTCCGTCCTCCTCGCCGCCCTGATCACGCCCGCCCTGCATATCGTGCTCGTTCTTTTCGGCGCTCCCTTCCTAACACACGTCCCGCACACCCTCCTCTGCTCCGCCAACGTCTCCCTCCTCTCGCTCTTCCCACTATTCTATGTCCACGGTGTCGAGGCCAGCACATGGGCGTCCATCGCCAGCGCGGCCGCGCCGCTGGACGAGGCATACGGCGGTCTGATCGGAGGTCTGCTGGGCGCGTGGCTCGGCGCGGTGCCAATCCCCCTGGACTGGGACCGTGACTGGCAAAAGTGGCCCGTTACGATTCTGTGTGGCCTCTACGCTGGCTACGTCCTGGGCAAGACCATTGGCGGCACATTGGCGTTTGGCAAGAGGATGGCAGGTTCTGCGAGCGACGACGAGTGAGCGTGCCGAGGCGGTCAACAATCTGAACTGGCAAATCGGCAGCGCGCTGCAAGTCAGCGACAACAGTTCCGCCGACTGCCTGACTCGTCGATAATACCACGACAGTGACAAGACGTTAGTATTCGTCACGTCTCACACAAGAATGCCTCCGGGTGAGGTGTGTTATGGCTAGGCCTAGACCTAGACCTGAGCCAGAAGACGCAGTAGCTCAAGCGTGCGTGGCAACAGCGGCTTCACCAACGCTAGCTCTTGTTTAGCAGCAACTTGGCCTTCTGCAGAGTAATCGATGTATAATACCTAGCGTCAATTGGCAGCAGCCAAGAGTGGCCTCACAAAACAAACGAAAAAAAGTTCCAACACAACCATTGCGATAGACCGCTGGGAAAGAAACGTGATGGTGCAAGTGTTTGTCGCCGTCAGCCTCGGCGATGTCGCAATCAATGCCGTGCAGTGAAACACCAACATCATATCTGTCGTGGCACACTTCACCCCAGCCACATATAGCATTGCAAGCTTGCCTCATGGAAGAGTCCAGCCCTACAGAGTCGACGAAATAGGCGTTGGAGTCCGACTTCTAGCGACGTTTTTTTCGCCGTCTGCGCCCCCCGTCACAAAAGCGGGTACAGGCCGCGTCTCCGTCCCAGCCCTGCCAGCTGCCGAGCCGACTTGGCTTCTCCCCCTTTGCCGCCGGGCATGACCGGGCCCCTTGCGTCATAAGTCACGGGGCACCTTGGGGTTTCATTGGTGAGACAGCTCTGGCAAGTTTTTGATGGGACAAGGAGACAAGAACAAGGTGAACGGCGCGCCGCGCAAGAGGAAAAGAAACCAGCAAGGCGGTGGGGATTTGGGAGAACGGAACCAAAGTAACTTGGTGACTCTTCACTGCCAAATCATTTGCATGTCTTCTCCGCAGCATGCGCGGACGGACCGATGTCCGCTGGAGAAACAATTGGCATGAACCTTGCGCCAACTCGAGCGAACTGACAGGCAGATCCTCGATGCTCATCTGTGGCTATGTGGCTGTGCCGTCACTCTTGCGACACTGATCAGCTTTCCTGGTGTGGCGCTGTGGCTCATCGCCTGCATGTTGCCAGGGCCCCTTCCCTGCCGTCGTGACTGTCCCTAGCGCCTCCTACTGGTCGAGAGCATGTGGACCGATGAGCGAAAGAAGCAAAATTAAGAAGGCGGACCCCACTGGCGGCGCTAGCAGGCTCGGCTGATGACGTAGCATCCACCTACCCGCCCCGAAAAAGAGTTCGCGCAGCTTCTCGTCCATTAGATTCCGATGTACACTGGCTATGCGAGAGAACAAGCAAGCCAGTTGCAGCCCAGCGCGCACCTGTGCACCCATTACCTGAAGACCAGCCCCGGAATGGCCGTGCCTGGGTACAGTGCTGCTTCCCAATGACGGCGATATCGCGGGAACTGGCTGGGGCGGGGGACGCGCAATTGAAGGCTCGATCTGGTAAGGATAGATCGGAAACGACGACGATGCCATGGCAAATATTCAAGTGTCGGATTTCTGTAAGGGGGCATCATGTGGGAAAAGTCTGCGCCGCGAACCGGTATCAGCTTTAAGCATCTTGATGTAATTGCAGAAACCTGGCAGCAGGCAGTCAGTAGTTCGTCGTCTTGCAGGAACAGCCGTGCCATATCTGACTTTGCTGATACGTCGTAAAGATGCAGCTATGCTGCCTTCAGGCTTCGGTTCTGCTCCGCACGGATTGTAGTTTCCGGAGAACGTCAAGGGCCAGGCAAGGCGTGAAGAGCAGGGTCATTGCCCAAAAAGTGGGTGAAGGTGTGGCTTGTCCGCATCGCACGGCAAAGCCATCCCATGCCCAAGAAAACTAGCGAGAAGCTATCCGAGGGGGGAGGTGCGGACTGTCTGTCAGTGAGGTAGGGGCCCGGTGTGCCTTACGCAGGCGCACCTTATTCCTGCCGCAGCAAACCGGGAATCAGTCGATGACGCATGTCCCTTCTCATTTCACCCCAAGCCTATTCCGCGGCACGAACAGCACAGCTGCTGCGGCTTAGTGGGAGCTTGCGCTTGGGTGATGCTTGGTGCTTGGGTGCTTCCGGACCTCAATGGCCTGGCACCTGCGACTGGCTTGTCCCTTGTCAGACGTAAGGTCCGCAGTGAGGTAAGGAAGAGATGTACTGATGGCGGGAAGGGGGCGGCCCCTGCAAGTCCACATCACATCACTGTGAGCTCGACTGGTGACCGTGACCTTGTCCATTGCGCCTACCTACCTTACTTTGCTGGGGCCATTCTTTTTTTTTTCCTCGTTGAATCTTGGAGGATTGCCCAGTACCACTCCTCTATTTAAGCATCTCGTCCCCATCCCACCCTTCCTTTCCCCTCTTGACATTCTCAACCAACGAACCTACACTCGACCTTACATTAGAACTTCGAGATCCCGTCGCGAACTATCAGACTCACCCAAACAAACACTTCATCACCACCACATATCAATCACCATGCCTTTCACCGCTTCCGATATCTGCAAGATCATTCTTGCCATCATCCTCCCGCCCGTCGGTGTCTTCCTCGAGCGCGGCTGCGGTGCTGACTTCTTCATCAACATCCTGTTGACCATCCTTGGTAAGTTCCGACATTCATCGCAATCACTCACAGCATTCACTAATATGCACAGGTTACCTGCCCGGTATCATCCACGCTCTGTACATCATCCTGAAGTATTAAGCGTCCCGTCGCTGAGGTCGTCCCGATCTCGAACCACCTACATCAATGAGCGCTATGACGACTTCAAGCAAGCGACAGCGGCATGACCTCAGCCCTTCGACATGCGAGACCCAATCATTTGACAGGAGGGTGACGGTGTAGGCGGTGGCCGGGCATTCCAGCGACCTCAGCTTCCGTCTCATCCGGCAACCTTTGGGGATCCTCCTGCACCGGACGGCAGGGATTCTGCTTGCCAGTGCAGGGTGGCATAAGACCCCTACCACTTTTTGTTATTTTACGACCACGACACAGCAACGGCCTCTTTTCCTCTGTTGGAGGCGGTTATTTTCATCACGGACTGGTTCTCATCGGCTCTTGTTTTCTTGCAGCGCGTCTGTAAGAATCTGGATCAGGGAGGCTTTGGACTGTGTACACTTGATGCTTAATTCGATACCCGACATCAATCTCTTCAATCAAAGATCTCTTCTTTCGCAAAGACTCATTTTCTCATTATGCATGTGTGATGTGTTGTCAGACGCAGCCGCATTTTGTTGCTTCATAATCCGAGTGTGCCGCATGACAGCGGTTATGATTTTCCCCCGCCAGCAGTAGCAGCGATAGTGCCGGAGCTTCCTCCAGTGATGTCATGCCCAATCTGCATTGAAACGCTGAACTCTCACCCGGAAACGTTCTAGATCCCGCCAACCCGCCTAAGCATACAGACTTTGGAAACACCGTCCAAGAGCTTATTTCACTTGCAACGAAAACGCTCAAGCAGTTATTGCATAACCAGCCATGCCATGGCAGCCATGTTCGCAAGAGAATTAACCTTGTTTCCCGCGTATCCTGAACGACGAGCCCAGCCACAATAATGGAGACGCCAGAATCTCCAAATGACCCCGGAACGGTTTGCTCTTCACCGCGACGGATCAACCAACGGAAGCCGAGGGACGCGTCACGCAAAATACTCGGCGCAGCGTCGGTCCCACACTGCATTTTGCAGTCGTGCGCAGTCGTGCACACACTCGGCGCGAAGCCGAAAGCGTTGCACTGTTGAGGCTGGCCTTGCCGGGCCTCGAGGCGCTAAGGCAGATTGAATGTGCCCTGAAGCCTGTCGTCCGTCGTCGCCTACCGCTGGACTGACTGACTGCCGTCGGCCGCCAGAATCAGATAGAATGCGATCCCTGTCCGCGAGGGCTGTGTTTAATTGCACGCAGACCGTTGAGCTGGGCTGCGGCCTGTTCGAGGGCGCTGGGAAAACGGACCGAGTGCGGTGAGCGCCAACCAGATAGATCATAGATCAGCTTCCAGGTTCTTTGCGCGAATGCGAGCACAGGAACAAGGAGACACCAGAGATGATCCACTAACCGCAATGACTCGGCGAGTATGGAGCTGAGCTTTGATATCCCACCCGCCCTTATTTCATTTTTCATTTTTGGTCGAGATACTGCATAGTATTTCTGCCCTTTATTTTTAAACAATCGTTTCGAGTGGCACGCTGCTGGCCCCCAAAGCGCTCACAGACCCTTTCGATTTCGGCCTTCCCATATACCCCTGTCCGCGCCAAGGGGGGGCCTGGTGATTCCCTGCATCCCGCCTCGCTGGGCTAAGGGTTCCGGCGTACCCGCCTGCCAACTCCATGTCACATTTTCTTCATTTGAATCGTTGCGATGAACGCCCTCCCGTTGGCTCCGGGGATGGTTCTTCTCCTCACGGAATGTATATGATGTCTGCCATGTATGCGTGAGTGTCACGGGGTGTGCTCCATGGTTCCACATCTTCGGATATCAGGGAGCTGGAGGGGCAGCGGGGAGCGGTGCGAGATTCTGATCACTATCGGCTGGCTGGCAGGTAAACTGAGGCAGACATCCGCGCGTGGAATTGCCTAGGCGCATTGCACTCAACCCCTTCCGACCTTGAACGACAGAATCTGTGAGGCGTTAGCAACAAACTCATGACCATCGAAACCTGAAGCCCATGATGATGGGGAAACACTTACATCGTTCTTCCCAACCGCAACAGGGTCGTCCTCAGCGACCCTCAAGCCCCCAGCGCCCTCGATATACGCAATCGGCGCATCCCCCATAACCTTCCTCGCCGCCTCCCCCACCGTCGTGCCCTTCTTGACCAGCACGCAGTCCCTGAACACGACTCTGCTCTCGTTCGCGCCCGACTGGAACGTCGTCGTGTTGCGCACGGGAAACACCGGCACCAGCCCCAGGATCTCCGCCGCCTTGCTGAGCACCTGCACCACTCCCGTCGACCCGAACCGGTACAGCACCATGTCCTTGAGGTTCTCTATCCGGTTGCGGTTCTTCTCGTCCAGCTCCTTGAGCCCGCCGCCGTTCGGGTCGCCCTGCTCAATCAGGTCCTCGCGCGTGTCCACGAACTCGCTGCCCTCCGTGTACTTGACGTACCCCTGTTTCGCCATCTTGCGCAGGAAGATCTCCGAGATGGCCGAGCACAGCACGATCGTGTTGGGGTCCTGCATCTTTGCAATCTTCGCAATGTTCTTGTCCGCGTCCGGGTGGTCGATCTTGTTGAGCGCGATGACGGTCGGGAACTTCTCGTCCGTGAAGGCGTTGACAACCCGGTCGATCGTCGCCTCGTCCCAGTCCTCCAGCGGCTCCTTGATCCCCAGCCGGTCCAGCGCCCGCGCAACCACGTTGGCCGTGCTGCCGTATCCGGAGAACTGGCCCTGCAGCGTCTCGATTGCCGTCGCCTTGATCGCCATGTGACGCCGTCTGATGCTCCCCCACTTCTCCATCAGGTTGCCCTTGATCCAGGCCACGATCTCGCCGCGCAGCCAGGCAATGTCCACCGACGGGTCGTACCCGCGCGTCTCCTTGCCCTCGGCGTCCACGGTGCCCGAGGCGTCGACGACGTGTATCAGCGCATCGGCGTGGCGCAGGTCGTCGAGGAACTTGTTGCCGAGGCCTTTGCCCTGGTGGGCGCCGGGGACGAGGCCAGCGACGTCGAGGAGTTCAATCGGCACGGAGCGACGGCCGTCGACACAGGCGCCGTAGTTGGGCTTGCAGCGGTCCGAGACATTGTGGCGGGCGCAGGCGCAGTCTATTTGGAGGTATCCGATGGCTCGTTGGGGATCGATCGTCGTGAATCTGGAGGTTCAGGTGAGTGATGAACAACCGGCATGAAAACGGCAGAGGTTTCGTTGAAAGAGACAGAGGAGAAGCAGGGCTCGTACGGGAAGTTTCCTGTTCACAAAATTCCATCAGCGGCCAGGTCGCATGGTGGGGTGGTCGGTTTTTCTCGGTCGAGCGGGCTTTTGGTAAGGGCTACGGACCAACTTTTGATGAGGCGTCTGTGAGACTGTTGAGCGTTGTGCTCTTGCCTGCCGACGGCTTGCCAACCAGGCCGATCAGCGGATCTCGAGGCATTGTGTCGGTTTGGGCTTGTGGTGCTGTCGTGGTGAACTTCGAGAATCGTTCGAGGGGTAGCGATTTTGCGAAGGGCGCGGCCCACCCTGGTCGGCTTCGTCCCGCTAATGCAATGAGGGGCTGCCCCGATAATTGCTGACTGTCGTTCCGACATGGTCCGCGTCCATACTGAGTCCCGTCTCGCCTCCTTGTCGGTCTGCACGTTGAGTATGTATCCAGCATCTCGTGCTGTGCCAATTGCCAGTGCTGCAATGCCTCATTCCGTTGAGTTGCCGGATTCACCGGTATAACCTCTTTGCCGATCTTCACAAGTTAAAGCTCGCAATATGAGGAACGATCAGGTTATTGACCCGAATCCATTCTAATCTCAGTGCTATCACATCATGTTTCTCTCCCGCCAACCTACTGACTGCATCAAAAGAAACTCCAGGCACCAAAAAAAAAAACACTATTAATAATGCCGCTGTCTGAGTTCGTGGGGATTACCCTCAGAGATCCCGTAGCGACGACCTTGGGAGGACCATTGTTCCCGTCGAGTCTGTTCGTTTTTGTTAGTTATTGTGCTCTTTTCGGGAGCATCAGGTCACATACCTTCAAAATATCGTCCGCCTTGTCGGAGTGCGCATCTGATTCCAAGTTGGAGGATTCGACGTCTCCATCCTAGTCTGCTTCATCCGGTTCCATTGTACGGCCAAGCTTTTCCATGGGAGGTTGACCTCGCAGAACTCGCAATCGAAAGGGGTCCCTCGTCATTTGAGCATCCGCGCTCGATAGAGCTCTTGCTCCGCGTCTGTCTGCGTGGCCTTGTCAGTGTCTGTGTCTTTCTCTACATTGTGAGCTGCGTCTTACCTGTCTTCAAATCATCCTGTTCCTCGTCGTCCATCTCTGGCTTCTCGTACTTGAAGTCCATGTTCTGATCCAACTCAGACAGGCTGGTTTGTCGCGGGCGTGACTGTATGACCCCTCTCAGTAAGTATACTCACCGTTTTCAGTCTACGGAAAGGTATTTTGCCTTGTCCATGTCCATTTCTTCGCCAGCCTCCTTGTCAGGCCTAGGCTCGTCCGCGATGCCGAGGAATCCAGTTTCTGCAATGCTGTCCTGCTCCCAAGGTTTCTTGCGTGGAGAAGCGACGATCTTGTCGTCATTCGTGTTGAAAACCTCGTCAGCCTTGCGCTTCTGAGGAGTATTTTGACCGTCATTTTCTTTTTCATTGCCAGAGCCGTTCTGGTCATAATGGATGTTCTCAAGCCAACGCGGCTTGCCCTTGTAGTCAGCAGTACGGCGCGACTTGCCCTTTTTGTCCTCGGTGCAGTCAGAATAAGCCCCGGAAGAGTTAGAATGAGTCGAAGATAATACGTCTGCATCGTCTGAGGTGTCTGATGCGGCATCTTGTGCGCGTGCCTCGGAAGTGGAAGGGCCAGCACGGGAGGTAGAAGCGTCGGCATGCGCTATCCCCGTCTCGAAAGTGGAAAGGCCAGCACGGTAGTAGTGAGCGTCGGCATACACCATACCCACCAGTACGATGATGCTGTTCCCGAGATATTTCCGGTTGGTATCGTTATACGTATTGAGATCAACGTCTTCAGAAAGCCAGTTGATGAGCGATTCGATCACAGCTTGCCACAATCTCGCAATGGGTTCTTCAGACGTCAGACACCTGTCCCAATCACTGGCTATTTCATCGAAGAACTGGTCTATGTGGGCTTCC